ATGCACACTTTGCCAAAGAAGCATGGACTATGGCCGTGGCTTTGCCTCTGGGTTTGACAAGGCGAACGAAATTTTTTTTTAAATGTTCGCACATCACAAATGTCATCCTTTTTAATATTTGATTTAAGTTTTTTATGTGTATTTCAAGTGACTATATTTTGAAATAGTCACTTAAGTATTGTTTTAATGAAATCTAACTATCATGATGTAGACTGAATGTTGAATTATGAAAGGCAGTGAGCACCAAATTCTTCAAATGTTATTCGCCAATGTTAACACCTGTGGATGAGATCTGACCTGCACTAGGCAATCAAAAAACGAAATTGCCAAACTGTATGTTCCCCAAAGTGATCCCAATAATTGAGTTTACACAAATTGTTGTCTTTTCGGATGTGGAGAGCCCGCAAACTTCTCAGTCTATGCCCATTCCAGAGATACCGCCTGTTGCTACTCCATTGTCTGCTTCCAAAGTGTGTGTGTGCTTATGTGAGCCTAACTAATTGACTGCTCTTTTCTGTTTTCTTTAACCTTCCTCAATCTTTGCATTGGTGCATTTAACAGGAGCAAACTGCAGGTATCATCAGCTGTGTCATGAGGTGGTCGGCCATGTACTTTCGCTTTGTGGTGCCCATGCACTGCGCTTGCAGGTCCCGTAAATTTGGAGGCGGTAGCGTACCACCTCGGTCTGTTCCACGGAATCTGCCTAGTTGGGCTCTGCAGGCGCTACATCATCCCCTGCACGACAGGCAAGATGCATGATCCGGTGAGGGATGAATGATGCAATGATCGATGCGCAATGCAATGACAACCACGACCACATAGCCCATGTTCTCATTTCTAAATGTTTCAGATGCTGCAGTTGGTTTTCAGCATGCTGAAAGCACGTATAATTTTGACACGTGTTTTTTGTGTGGCCGTGTTGAAGTAGCGCTAGGTAGGGCTGAGGTGATCGTTGTCTCGGTAAAAGGTGATGATCTCCGAGGAAAGGGGGAAGCTCCTGTCCTGGATGAGGTGTGCGTTAGATGGAAAAAGCTGCCGCCAATCCTCCCTGAGGTGGCAGAGGGGGCTTCTCTGGAAAACTCTAGAATCGTGGGCGTATGCCGGGAATCCTGCAAGTACATCAGTGAATTCGCCGCGGCAGTAGATGTAATGCTTACAGCCAGTAGGTGTAATGCTTGGCCATGCTCATGCATATTATGAGAGGCTGCTATCTCCTTGCTGGGAGCATCCATGAAGATAAAGAACCGGTTGATTGACCCAACCACACCCGGGAAACCGGCGCGCAGCGCAGAGCCTGCGATGGTTTTATCTAGCCGCTCTCCTATGACGTCACCGCACGCGGTAGTAACAGATTAACAAAACGTTATCAGACATCAGTGTAACCCAGATTTTGAAGTTCCAAGCTGGTCGCCAGCGTAGTGATGGGACACTGGCTCGGTAAGGTACTGCGGCGCAGACATGACGTCTTCCAACGGACGCCTCTGATTGCCTCTGCGCTGGCCGTGATCGCCAAAATAACGGGCCAGCTCTGCCTGGAGATTTTGGAAAAAACTTGGCGCGAGATACGAAAACGCCATGTAAAATCTCCGTTATCATATCCGGAAACCACGTCGTATATATCAGGTTCTATTTTGTTTCCGCGATCTTGACGCTTTGGCAGGCTCAGAACCGCTATGTCGGCAAGTGTACCATTGTCTTAGTCACTTTCTGAGCTTTACAACAGAAATAGGCTGTCAGGACATTGTGAATGTTGTAAAGCCTTACATTCAGTGTTTTGGAATGTAAATGTACTGCATAACCCGACGCCACATGTTTCCATGGACATTGTTCATCTGGGTGTCTATAGGTAGAACTCGCCTTCATGCCGCCTGTCACAACATGCGATTTCTCCCTGCACACGTACTCCGAACAAGGCCTCAAACTTGCCAACTCGAAGTAGCACTTTGCTGCGTACGTGTTTCCGAATATTTTTCATCTTACCGGCCCTGACCTAGGTGAGCGCGCAACACACCTATACTTCATTTTCTGTCGGAAGTCATCTATGGTGGAACAATATTTATCCGGGCCTAAAGACGACGTGGGGCGTCCCTCCCTTAACTGCATCCCTGATTACGACCGCACGTGCCAAAACTCTTCCATGCGTAACAAGATATATGGACGATCTTAATTTGCGTGTGCGATGATCTTAGTTCGGGTAAGACTTTAAGTTACCAATGCCGGTTGAATTTCGTGTCTGTGGCAGGATCGATTGTATGGGGTTACTTTCGCGCAATGCTTAAATTAATGTAGCATGTTACTAAGTCGAGGGCAATGATCTGCCTTCCTCTGCCTATGATATTCTCGTTAAGTAGCATGGTTTATGGTATAGGTTGCTGTTGTGAAAAATACACACGAAGCATTTGCGTTTGACTGTACCGACTGGTGAATATCGTCCCTGCTGCGCGTCCAATGTGTTTGTTGGAAAACAGCTGGTTTTACCAGTCACCATATTTGGGAGTAACTTGAAGCGTTTTCCATTACGCAGATGACGTAGCTGTGGGGCGTCACAGGCTGTTACCTGAAAGGGCGACGCATCTGCCAACATTTTCCAAAGAGGAACGAGGCCTTGGCCCACACTTCCTGGTATCCTTTAGCTGTGCATCATGTACCGGCACGGTTTACCTGACCACCATGCCATCAGCAGATAGCAGCGGAAGTTGGCGGGACATTTTTGAACTGGCAGTCCAGCGCGGGCAGTGGCACCAAGGTTAGTTGTGTGACCTATTTTTTCCTCATTTTCTGTCCCCCCTTTACCTACCTGATGAGGACGAACGCCGAACATTCGTGCTCTCAACTAGACTTTTTCTGATATTCACTCCACCAACAGCCTACAAGTCTTCAGCAGCAAACTGGTCAGTGCATTAGGACTGTAAGGCCATCTATATCTTCGTAAAGGTTAATGTCCATTTCTCGGCTGACCGGATAGTCAGCTTATGGTGTGGACGGTGTCTGTGTGCGTGTGGTCCGTCCAGCTTTGATGCTGATGGGGCGGTATGATGAAATCAAAACGCCCCATCATGATCAAATGGAATGCATTCTGACCTCTCTTGATGTCTTATTCTGCGATAACTGTCTCAAAGTAAGTGCTGGCAAAATACAGCTTATGTTGCTCGGCAGGTGCCTAAATTTATGCAACACTCCGAAATGAATTGTTATATTTTGCAACCGTAACCTTGACCATTACTCGGAGGTGAAAAATTGAAGTTCGGTTTTGAAAAAAACAACCTTTCGCATGGTATACCATGTACATCTCGGTATAAGGCGTTATTTTGGAGTTTTAATCGATCACTCATGCATTTGTCTCTCCCTATAATCCACGCACCGGTCAAAACCCTGGTCTTTTCGCAGCGCCGTTACCGCGTCTCCGTTTGCAGCAATGGTACCTAAAATACCTTATATATATATATCACACAAGGTGATCAGCTTCTCAGCGATGGTTCTACTCAAACACAAGTGCGATCACGTGATGAAATTATTTGAAAACCTCGACTGGCTCACCGCTAGAAGACTCGTGCGCTATCACGCCCCGGTATCGCGCTCTCAGAATACTCCACCTGGCGAGTCCGAGGTGCTCGTCCGCGAGTTATTGGCGGTGTGCGAGACTCGCGAGCCCGACTCCCAAGGCTGGACGGCAATCTCCACGTGACGAGATCGCGGGCCGAAGTGGGGGGAGAGGGGGGGGGGAGTCGCTTTCCTTCGCCGGATGGCCGCAATGTACTATGGGTTGCCACGCACAGCTGAGGTTGCTCCCGGGTCTCCCCTTCGGACCGGCTTACGGAAGCTTCACATACGGCAGGACTCTGCGATAACTGTCTTGCGATGTATGTGCGCGTGTATGCATGATGCCCAGCTCAGATGTATTTATTTGCTTTTGCCTATTTACCTTGCCAAAGATGCCTTTGACTGGTATGCATGTGTCTCTAGCATTCACGTCTGTCCTTTAAGTTCGCATTATATATGTTCACGATGTGCCACTATGTTATGTGAATTATCCTTATATACGTGAAATGTCTAATGCCTAATGTCTAATAATTTCCATGGCTAAACTATGCTCTTTGTTGCGTGGTTGATGACTTCATTTGTACGTGGACCTCTAGCTCCTTTGTGTGTCTGCTATATCGCAAGGGATTCCTCTACATGCTCGCACTTGAATTATGTGGAAAATTAAAAGGTTTCGGTGGGCTTGACTTCATCGTTGCAAGCCCACTGCCCTCACCCTCTGCTGGTTTTAGTATTCTCTGCGCTGCATGCCAAATTTTGCATTGAAGAATGTCCGGCCACCTAATGCTGTGCTCTCTGTGCTTCTATTGGTATGTTACGGAACTTATACTCGTGCCCATACCCGTGCCCGATTTTTTTCTCAAAATTGTTCATCCAATCCGTAGATTTACTGGCTTAGTATGGACACTCTCGGGTCTACCGTCTATGAAGGCCTATATTATTCAGAAATGTATTCCACTCAAAATGATTTGCTACGTAGGCGAACTCGAAATCATCTTCATCTGTTATTATTTGGAATCTAGGAAAATGTAGCAGAATCTAAATCAATCACAGTCTGGCTTCTTCGACGCACAGTGGCTCGGCTGTGCGCATTTGTATTCATATTCAATGTTGCCACGCATTAGCAAGCACATTGACATCTCACGTAAGATTTCCTCTGCAGCGTGTACAACAAACAGCAAACAATCGAACATCGGAAGTCACACAAAAATCTCACAAGGGCGACCGCTGCGCAACATTTGCGTTTGCTCACTCGCTGTGCTTATCCGGCAAATGATCAAACTGTACGATTTAACCACTCCCTGAAAACCGGCTGCGCACCGAGGCCTGGCGGCGTTCGCGAGTCACTGCGCGTCGGCCTGTCGCCCCGGTCGGTTTCTCAAAGGCATTTAGCCAGTTCATGCCCGCCGATTCGTATCCCGACAGTGCCGTCGCTTGGAAAAACCGGACTGTTTAAGGCATCAGATACGCGACGACGGGGCGTCAGGAGGGCGACGCGCGGCGCGGAGGCGGCGCAGGATGGCGGATGCCCTACGCGGCGGGAACGCCGGTGTCCCCGGCAGCGTTCCCGATATAATCCCGGGACAGCGCGTCCCATGTAGTCCCCACGAGCCGCTGCCGATATAATCCTGGAGCAGTGTTCCCGATATAATACTCGGGAAGCACCCTCCATATAATTCCCAGGAAGCGCTCCCGATATAATTCCCGGACAGCGCTCCCGATATAATCTCGGAACAGCGCTCCCGATATGATCCCGCAACAGCGATTCGCAACAGCGCTCCCCATATAGTCCCCGGGAGCCGCTCCCGATATAATCCCCGGGAATCCCTCCTCATATAATCCCGTGGCCGCGCTCCCGATACAATCCCCGAGAAGCGCTCCCCATGTAGTCTCCGGGAAGCACTCCCCATGTAGTCTCCGGGAAGCACTCCTCATGTAGTCTCCGGGAAGCACTCCCCATGTAGTCTCCGGGAAGCACTCCCCATGTAGTCTCCGGGAAGCACTCCCCATGTAGTCTCCGGGAAGCACTCCCATGTAGTCTCCGGGAAGCACTCCCAGTATAATTGCCGGACGGCGCTCCCCATATAATACTCTGGATAACCTGACGCTTGATACACTCTGAAGGCATTACACATGGTCCATAAGAATCCGCACACCAAGCTTTCAGCCTAACGGGGGTGTGCCGTGTTGTTGACATATGCATGGAGACGGCGAAAACAGAGCTTTAGGAGACCAGATGATAACCAAAGTTCTTTTATAATGAATGTACCCCACAATTAAAAGGGCAAGATACATGTACCGCTCTTTTGTAGCTGATTCTTAGCTAAATACTTGGACTGTAGGCAAAGTATTTCGCTCGTCTGCTGTCTGGGGGAATGGGTCGCTGAGGATAGGCAATAACCTCCGTATATGAAAATTTGATTGCTTGCCCAATATCACAACGGACTGCGTCATCACACATACAAAATGTCCGCCAGTCGCGGAGGACGTTACTATCAGTCAGCGGCCACTCCCCCGGCAGGCATTACGCCCGCGCGCAGTGTGTTTTCTTCACGTGAGACGTTCTCGTGAGCCGTTCATGGGCTGGTATCGTCTTGCGCCATTGCGTTTGTGGCATCGCGCCTTCATTCACTCTCTTCACCCAGCATACATGCTCCGAAAATACAGAGGTTTCAAGACCTTTCCATAAGCCTTGCCATTTAGCAGTAGTAGAATGCAATTCATGTGATGTGTGCAACGACATTAATGTGAACAGTACATTGCTCTTAAATTGTCTAAACGCTAATAATGAGGCAGCTCAGCAAATGGCAGTTCACACGCCAGTGTTTTGATGTGGAGTATGCCATGTTTGCAATTCGACAACTTGTGACGCATGCAGGACTGAAGCAAACAGCTACACAAGCAAGCTGGTATCAAATAGTTGACGGTAACAACCGGCACATGGCCTCGGATGTCTTCATTAGGCATCAGCGCGGCCACCAGAGGACCATAACATCGTGGTCCCATAAAAACACGGTTCTTACCTGGTAGTCATTTGACCTATTGACACATAACCCCCCCCCCGCTCAAAAAAGTACGGCTGAATCGCATCACTTCGCGTTTATGCCTGACGTGATATTAGTCATCTACGCAGACATGCGTGCGGATCCAACAAGTGGATCCCAGGGTTCCCGGAGCATTATCGACAAAAAATGTAAAATAAGCATTAGATTCTGCAGAAATCCCCATAATGAAACCCGATTCAAAAAGGTCCACGGACAAAATCTAAACCACGTCATGGATTCGAGAAGATTGCTACACAGAGTGCTATACTAGTATACATCCGACACTGGGCCTGGATCCCGGCTGTAGGTGGGCGCCGCGGACCGGCCGCTGCCGGTGAGCAGGGCCTGCCGACGATGTGGCGCGCGCTGGACCCAGGCCAAAGTACCGCCACGCTCCCGGCTAGTGTACGGCCTCGTCACTGACTGAGTTTAAAATTGAACGTGCATTTTCGTTCAAGCTGGGTAATCATCGTAAAGATGGCGGCCGTGTTATTTCACCCGCCGGTGGAACACTGATCAGAGTCGTTACCACATGGCTCGTGTCACGTTCACTATTTTACCTTTTGATGGTCGCGCAGCTCGTCATTTTACCTTTTGATGGCCGCGCAGCTCGTTATTTTACCTTTTGATGGTCGCGCAGCTCGTCATTTCTGTTCTCACATTGCACGCTTCACATCTTAACGAACAGTCAAAGCTCACCTGTGGAATTAATAATCTTTCTTTATTGAAATGTTCCGACCTTCTGAGTGACCTATATATGGCCTCGGGCTGACCTATATACCTTGTCATTACTGCGTGTTGCGGTCAGTCCAATAGCTTAGTGCAATGGTACGTACTAGGTCCACAATAGTACTACAATATTAGTGGCAAATGTCCAGGTCAGTACAATACTACGTAATTGTACTGACCTTGTATTTTTCCAATTAACTATGTGATCAAGGATTAAGGAGCAAGTAGTTGATCATTGGAATGAATAACGTAACTCACTCATTGTTTAAGCTTGACAGCTTGCAGAGTTACACGGAAACTTTCCATTGAGAACCGGCAAACGATGACAACAAATTTTACACGGTTTTTCTGGCCAAGCACGTTTTGGTTATTTTAATTGTTCAGTGGTCAGCGTATTTCTTAACGTAGTGACGCATGCAAAAGAAGGAAAGAATGCAGGTTCTGAAAGATACCAACAGACAATCCAACGTAGTGAAAACCTTTGCTCTGCTCCATGCACGCACACCAAATAGCATTCTGTCTATCCAGGCAACTCGGGAATCCTAGTAAGAGAATGGTCCTGCGAAATTAGCTTGCGAAAGCCAGTAGCCAATAGGTGTGGGACCTTCTTAGCAAAGAGGAGTGACGCAGGTGCAAAAATTTGGGCCGTGCTCTGTAATTTTGAGGCCTTGAAGTTGCAAATGCTCAGCCTGCTTGCAATTCCGGACAAAAAATTGTCTAAAAATTGTCCGCAAGGACGGATTGCCCGCGTGCGATGAAGTTTGAAAGTAATTCCGGACTCTGTAAGACATTTGACAACATCGTGACAGAGACTCGCGATGACTGATCCTGGATAACATTTGCTGAGGCGAAAAGGGGGACCTACGATCCCAAAACATCCGTTTGAATCTTTCCATGGAGACTTGTTCGTGGAAGAGCTGAGAAACCGGACTCAACGTCCAGATTCTGGAAGCAGTGTACGGGACCTACGCACATGTCTGCGCCACCCAGTGTCTATACGAACCACCTCGGCCACAGCCCTTCGCTAAGACGGCAGCAGGGCCCCTCCCCCTCCTCGTAGCTGGACCAGCTGCATCACCAGCAGCACACAGCACGCTCCACCCACGCCACGCCACGTCACAGCCACGGGCTGGACTGCGGGCGGGCCGCACGCGGACCGCACGCGTCGACCCGCCGCGTGCTGTATCGCGTCTTCCCCTCCCCTCCCCCCCCCCCCCCCCCCCCCTATGACTGCCAGCACACGACAGTTCAGCTCGGCAGGCTCAGCGCGCAGTGTTCGCGGCTTCTCATTGGCTGCCGGCCGCAAAGTCAGTCCGGCTGACGCCGCGTTTCACTGCTGTCGCGGCGTCGGGCGCTGGTCGCGGTTCACGGGTTGTACGCGTGGCAAGAGCGTGTGCGGCGCAAGTGCCACGGCTCACGCTCGGTGAACGTCCGGTATGATAACGCAGGCCTCCGGCGGGTCCGTCTCGATGTCGGAGCTGACGATGGATTGGTCGGACCGCAGCAGCGATAGCAGCGATCCGAGCAGCATGCACGTGCCGCCCTCGCACTGCAGCGCCGCCTGGGAGCGCGAGATCGCGGGTCACGGGCGGCACGCACCATACAAGACATATACGTACACGGGTCACACGTGCCACCTTCACACTGCAGCACCGTCTGGGAAGACGGTATCGTAGATTTGGGGTGACTCGGGAACGCGGAAATACATTACGGACGACACAGGTCAAACACGCACCAACCCCAAACAAAGGCGACCTGCGTGGCTTAGCGCTTGATTACAGGTCGGTAATCGTTGTGCCGATCTGGTGTACACCTGTACATTCTCGGTGTGTTTAAATGGAAACAATGCAGCACGATCAGCAATGGGGTGCTGCTGCAAATGCAACGCCCCACGATAAATCGCAATATGCCGTAGGTCTCCGACCGAAGGGATTCCAGCCGGGTACATGTCGAGCCTGGCAAGGTGTATACGCAGTGACGAATGCGAATGGAGTGAATGTAAATAAATCCCAGCATTTTGCACCAGACAGTCCCGCTTCCGTAATAACAGCCAGAACGCAAACTTACCTTCAGTTGTACTGCGACGTCTTTGCTGAAGCACAAATAGATCCAGGGATTCGTGCACGAATTTAGACTTGCAAGCAGTAACAAGATGACGAACACCGCTGGCAGTTTTGACGCTGCAATTGAAGCAATAGCACCTTATTCACAACCAAATGCATGTCGTGAATCTTGTCAGAGAACGATCAGGTTTAACACTGCACGTCGGTGGGCACTGGACACTCTATTACAGCAGTGAATGGGCACTGGACACTCTCTTACAGCAGTGAATGGGCACTGGACACTCTCTAACAGCGGTCAGTGAACACTGAACACTTTCTGACAGCAGTCACTGGGCACTGAACGGTGTTCGGTGCGTACACACCCGCAGACCATCATAGCCTCACAAGGTCTCCCGGTCACCCACACGCTTCCACTCGCGCGCGCACTCACGCCCGCACGCTTCCACTCGCTCGCGCACTCACGCCCACACGCTCGCGAATTTCCCCGGCGCTCCCAGGCATGACATCGTTCTGTGATACCGTAATCGTGTGGCATCGGGATCCGCTTATATCTTGCTACTCCTTTCTTCACAAGCGTGACTGCTTTGAGCTGATTGACATAGTGCTACTTATTAATTCACTACCGATTATTAGCACGTGCACGTGTAATTGGGGTACTAATCGACAGGTGCCCGTGCCTTTCCAAATGGACCGATACGCCATTTACTCAGGACGTCTATATATCCTGGACCGTATTAGCCATTCTACCGCAGGAGCATTCGCTCCCAGTGAGTCAGGAGACGACCAATGCTCCTCCCCTTCCCCCATCGGGATGCCCGTCTCCAGGAAGCGTCTCAATCTAAATACAGCTGAGATGGGGCCTAGGCGTACCCGCCCTCCATGGGGACCGTGTACGGTTGCACAGCCCAACGCAAATGCCGCCACCATTCCTCTGAGGTTCGCTGGAGCCGTGATGGTGGTTCAGGGCGCAATTACCTGACCAGCAGTGACATCTCGAACGGTTATTGCGTTCGAAATAGCAACGTTATTTGGCGATTTGAGACCCCGTCTGGAGAGTTCTCAGGAAACTGGCAGCAGTCCTGAAGAATTTCGGTGACAGGGACTCAATGACGAGCTCGAGACGAAAGCGTCTCTATGGACAGTTTACATGGGGAGCGAGCCGATGACGCACGTGACGCTAGTCGGGGCGATATCTTACGCTCAGCTGAAAATGCTACAGCGTGCCGAGACACAACGATGGTCAGAAGTGAACCCATTAAGTACATGAGTCTTCATCGCGTCTTTCCAATTCGCTTAAAATCTCATTAACATTGAAAAACGAAGGGTATTCGGGCTCAGATGTGTCTGCAATGGTCTTTAGTATCTAAGAAGTGGTGGGTATCGTAGTAACTTTTGTATCCGATGCAAAGCACGCTGCAACCGAAAACACATGAAATTTTAGCCTGACTCCACACCTCTGACGTATGCATTGACAGATATGACTTGACAGATACACGTGCGCAAAATACGTAACATCACAATGCGAAAGGTACATCATGCAACATGCAAGTTATGCAAAAACACCTACAAAAACAAACTTTGAAAAAACATGATTTCCGCAATGTAAAGCGGGTAAGAAACACGAAATACACAAAACTCGGTGCATAGCAAACACCACACAGACGAAATCAAAATTAACCGACAAGGTATATGAATTTGCCGTAAATTTGGGAGCTGTTCATGTTCCTTGACAACAACACTCGGCCTACTTAACTTTTCCACGTGGTAAATTAATTCCATTCGACATGCTGGTACTTTCAGATACTCGTACTTTTTAGCAGTAACACAACGTCTAATTTGTCACCAAATCTGAAATGCACGAAAAGTGGCGCGAACATAAGTGTGTGACATAAGTATATGCATGGAACGTCGTCTGGTATATTACAATCGTCGTGAAATGTTTCTTCGGGAGCGCTCCGGAGTCGTCTTTGTTTCGTCATCTTGCGCTAAATCGTCACTCAAGCTCACAGTTCTTTATGTTGTGGTCCCATGGAACAAAACTCGCAAACGTCTAATGACAAATAGTTGAATGATTAACCAAAAACGCTTTCGTAGGAGCATTTGTGTCGGCTATATTGATGAGCGTCAGAAGAAGCAGTTGGTTTGGTCCCTGTCTATCTCATTCTTTGTGCATTTTAAATTTGATGCCAAAGAGCTCTCTGTGTAATTATTTTGTCGTAGAATAGGTCACTTAGTGCAGCAAAAATAAGGCGCTAAACACTATGAACGTCACAAACGCGATTGCCCCATGGGGTGGTCGTAAGTGTGACCGCACCGTGCAAGAACGTACCACTTGGTTTAACACGGCGACTCCAGAATTAGCAGTATCGCTAGTTTTGGCAACGACATGCCCCGAATCGACTGAAAAATCTGGCTACCAACTAATGCCGGGCTCCAGTTGCCGCATACAGTTACGGCAGTTGCCTTTCTCGACGAGAGCGGGGTGTTCCGACGCCAGGCGTTCATGACACTCACCGTCCTGCGGCGGGAAGTAAGTGAGGTAGATCTGCGTGCAGCAGAAGGGCGCCCAGCAGACCACGAAGCAGAGCACCACGCAGAGCGTCAGCTTCACCGACTGCAGCTTGGCGGCGCTGATGCGTCGCCGCTCGTCGCACACCTTGACGCGGTGGCGCGAGGCGGCGCCGGCCGGCGGTCGCACGCGAAGCTCCAGCGTCAGACAGCAGAGCGTCTCTGGCTGGCTCTCCCAGCTGACCTGGCTGCCCACCTGCTCGAACTCGCTGGCCGGCTCGCCCTGTTTCGAGCACTGGTAGATGCGGTACGTCATGGCCGAGTAGCAGAAAGCGATGATGGCCAACGGCACGACGAACGCCACAGCCGTGAACCAGCTGATGTAGGCCTTCTCGCCCCAGCTGAAGTGGAAGGTGCCCCAGCAGTCGGTCTCGCCTGACGGCAGCCGCTGCACGGAGAAGATGGCCAGCTGCGGCAGTGCAAATAGCGCGGCGCTCGCCCACGCCAGGCGCACCATATACCGCGCGCAGATGATCGAGTTGGAGTGAAACGTCGTCCGGCCGTAGATGACGTGGTAACGGTCGATGGCCATGGCCACCATAATGAAAGTGGAGAGGTAGAGGGTAAACACCTGCGCGTACTTGACCAGTTTGCAGAGCAGGTTAGGACCCATGAAGCGGTATGTGATGTCCCAGGCAAGCTGAGGCAACACGTTGAAGAACGCCACCAGGATGTCGGCCACGCTCAGGTGCAGCATGAAGTAATGTACGCGCGACATGCAGCGGTTGGAGCGGATGCCCTGCAGCGCCAGCAGAATGCTGCTGTTGCCCGCCAGCGCCATCAGGAAGATGGCGAACAGCACGCAGATCTCAATGGTGGCCAGGAACTCGTCGCGGCCGGGCCCCACCGGCTCGGCGCCTGGTGCCGCCGGGCTGGCCGTGCTGGCGGCAGCGCTCGGCGCCGTGCTCAGCTCGGCGCCGACGTCCTCGGCCGCCCAGCCGGGTACGCCGGGACGCAGCAAGCGCTCGGCCATGCGCGTCACCAGTGAGGAGCGGTTCATTCGGTCGGCGGACCGGACAGCTCGACAAGCGGGCGCGTGCGGCTAGGCGCAGGTGGACGAGGGTCCGCTCAGACGGCGAGGGCCGGAGATGCTCCTGGTGTAGTCAGGAGGCGCTCCTGATGTGGTCAGGCGCAGGCAGGCGCAGCCGGTTCAGGCTGAGGTGGCCACTGTCCGGCTGAGCTCACTCGACTGGCGGTAGGCAGGCGCAGCCGGGGCTGCGGCGGAGCTGCAGTTGAGGCGGAGCTGGAGCTGCGGCGGAGCTTGAGCTGAGGCAAAGCAGGGCTGAAGCGGAGCTGGAGCTTGAGCTGAAGCGGAGCTGGGGCCCGGCCAGAGCAGCCTAGGGGCGGCTGTCTCTTGGGTGTGCGGCCAGTACTGTTGCGGTGCTGGTCTGTCCGTGGACTAGCGGACCGGTTGGGTCCCACCCAGCGGTGGGTCACTTGCTATGACACACTGATTCCAGACAGAGAAAATCGATCGTGCTTCGACACCTACAGAAAAAAAAGACGCGGTTAGATCGACGTTCATCATAGTGAGTTGGCGGGGCCGACGCGAACCACCCTTAAAGTTTTTTGAGGATATTTTTCGACCGTCATGCGATCACGCCCAGCTTTCGGAAGCCTTTGGGGCATTTCTTGGTTTTCGCCGCAAAGACTGCGGACGGCGAGCGGCAACCAACGAATGCGACGATTTCACGCGGGGTCCGACGCTGTTACACCAACGGAGCCCTACATCATACACATAGGCTCAAAGCACGCAGAACTACACACTTTTGTGGACATAATTAAAAAAGGAACACACTTGTTAAAGTGTGTTATGCTATTGCGTGACATGATAAGCAATGACAAGGCCTCTTTGATACCAATCCATTGACCTATTCTGCAGGGCTGCATTTTTATTGGTTTTGGAAATGGCAGGCACACGCATCCCCCCCCCCCCTCCCCCACCGATTAGTCTGCGCAATGAAAACGACAAGTTCGGACGACGGCGGAACGTGTAAGGCGTCGCATTGCGTTCCTGGATGCTTGTCCTAAAACGGGGAGACGCGCTTGGGCTGTAAAGGCCTGCAGTACGCCGTGTGCGCTCGAGCTGAGTGTTCTCATTCCGTCGTGGAGACTTAAAATACATCCGACTTCGAAAATATCAGCAGCGGGCCTGCGTATGCGAGGACAAGAGCGCGAGGAGGGCCCGCGGCCGGACCTTGTCGGGGTACTTCGTTTCCCGCCATTCGCCTCCTGGGTTTGGGATTCCACACCACAGGTCACCGACCTGTAAACCAGTGCTTTGTCTCTCAGAAGCAGGCAATGCCCGCGGGCCATTCGAACCCTAGATCCGGACCCTGGACCCCTTCGACCCCAGTGATCGGAGCGGTCCAGACCCCACTAACTGAAGGGTAAAATGGACAATTCTTGTGTTTTTGACCATACAAAACGGCGCCGAAACTAAAATGAACACCAGCTATACTTGAGACGCGATTAAGTGCATTCTATCGACCGCATTGTGGGGCACTTGTGCTAGATGAGTGGATAATAACTCGGCTTCCGTTTGCGCGATGATCATGACAGATAGCGCAATGGCGCCATCCCGTGACAACATGCTATTGATCCTAGGTAAATAAGGACGGGTACTCTTCGAGCCAAAACAGAATTCGTCGCGTCCTCTGTGAAGGCGGCCGTGAAGCGATGCAACTTAAGTTACTTCAGGGCACTGCAAACCCAAGGCTAAGGCGACGTTAGGAAGCATTCTATGTGATGGAATTACCTCTCGCTCAAAACATTCACTCTCTGAGCAGGAGGCCCCCACTTGACCCAAATTGGATGCCACTCCCAGACAGTGCCTGCTACCTTGTACGGTGGCTATAAACTAACTGGCCGCCTGCAGCTTGAACTTCCCTGGGAGGCACCCTTCAAGACGGTGGAGTGTGCGGCAGAACTTTCCCATCCCGGTGCTCTCAGAGGATTTAGCGAGATATTGTGTGAAAGATGGTCGCAGCGTCGGTGCTAAAGCTGAGTACGGCCCTATTTGAGCACCTAATGTTTGTCGTGGTTCGTAGGTCTTTCAATAACTTTCTTATCAATGTCTTGGCAGATTCTTTTTGCATTTAAAACGCATGGCTTGTACAACAGTTTTTGACCTCTACAAAACTCACAGCACATTTTTAAAGCAGAAGAAATGTACCCGTTTTGTGGCTGCGTTGGCAAATTGCTTCAATCACGCTAGTTCTTACAGAGATTTAATTTCCTGATAGACTTCCAACCCCGAAGAACCATAGTACCGGCACACACGATAACAGCTTTGGGAGCCAACAAGATTCCCTTCACTGATCTTTCGAGAAATTGTACACCAAGCTCACGTCCATACCATACGAGCGTTTTACAAATTGTCTGCTCTCAAAACCCATCGTGCGCTGACTGTCACCAACTACCAGGAGCTGTTCTCATACCAATAACGAAGAACGCCTGACAGCATGCTGCAGATATGAACGACGGAGGTTGTTTTCATTTTCGAGGTCATATATTCCACTTAACAAGGCATATCGCCCTTGATCACTACAAGTTGTCATAATCTTACAGCTGGGGCCCCTGAACCTGGAGGCAAAGTGTCGGCTACAACATGCTCCTCATGTAGCTGACAGGGCAGAACATGCTGGATGAGTTATCTGAATGGTTACGCGTGGTCACACGTGACCGGCTCGCGCCAACATCACCATCATCACAACATGGACCGGTCAGCATCCGCTGCAGTGAACGACGCGATGAAAAAAGACGGTGCCTTCGCACCGCCTGACTCCAGGTCCCCATCCGCTCTACCGACACCCGAGTGCATCGCGTCCACCATGGTAGCACGCGCGCGGTCGGCCCGCCGAGCCAGTCACTCCGCGTCCCCACCGCCGCCGGCCTCGACGCACGTCGGGCCGACAGTGCCGCGGGCGCCACCCCCACCGACAAGCAGCGGTGCTTGGCGGCCGGTGACGTCAGCCGGTCACTCGACTGGTCTAGTGGTCGGTGCAGTTGATCGCCGACCGCCGACACCGAGATACTGCAGAAGCTTCACGACGGCATGCAGGATTTTCCCTTTTAAACGTCACCTGCGTTTGGGCAAACGCGCGACAGACACGCCGTCTGCTTGCAAAGGCCTTTTTTGTTTTGGAATTGAAAGGCTATTTTCCCTACAACATCTGGTTAAAATCGCCTGCTTAAATTTTGGTTATACTTGACTTAGTTTCCGGTAAAATTGCCAAGCTGAGCTTGAAGGTATCGCCGCTCACCGAGTAAAGGATTTCAATGCATGTATTTCCCCGACGCTTGGAAGACAGGCCGTGCACGTGAGAGACAGATTTAACTTTGTAAAAACACATACCGCCAAAAGTTCAGACCATAATTAGAGCTGTACGGACAAACGCACCAGCAGCCTTGGCAGAAATGCTGCTGATGCCGCGCGCAGTGGTGGACTTGCTCGCAGTCCACAACAAGATTTCGCCGTGGCAATCGGAAAGCTCTGGGAAGCACCAGCCTGCTTTCGCACACCGTCATTACACGGGTATTGATGAGGAGCGCCTCTGCAGTGGCTCCTAGTGCTACGACGGCGGTTGAGCGCCCATCCCTGTGTCTGCAGCGCCGCAGCTTAGCCCCCAGACCCGGCCACTTCGCCCAGGACCCAGCTTTCAGATTTAGCGACCATATCAGAGGCTATATGTTTGCATTGCGGCACACGAGTAGCTCAGTGCGTTGGGAAATTGTCTTCCAGATAGGTGCTGATTTCCACCGCTGTTTGTTAGTTTGGCGGACCAAAGGGGGAGATGGCAGCAAACAGACACTTGACTCATATGATGGTGAAAAAGGTTCTCTGCCTCCGGACGTGCTTTTCGAATCATTGTCTCACTCATGGTCTCTCTCACCACCCGGTGTCGGATTCGCCCCAGCGGAGGGCATCGGGCCGGTCCTGGCCTCGCCCCTGTGGTGGGTATCGAGCCGGTCCTGGCTTTGCCCCTGGCGAGGGTATCGGGCCGATCCTGGATTCGCCCCTGTGGTGGGTATCGAGCCGGTCCTGGCTTTGCCCCTGGTGAGGGTATCGGGCCGATCCTGGATTCGCCCCTGTGGAGGGCATCGAGCCGGTCCTAGATTCGCCCCTTGCGGAGGGTATCGGGCCGCTTTACGGCCCTCGTGAGAGCCGGTGATCCCCCGCTAATGCCGGTGGTTCTGAGGCGGCAGGCTCCAAGCAGATCTCCCCGACAACGCCACTATCGGAAATTGACTACGCAAGGCGGGCTTTAGAGGCGAAGCTTGTGGGTAAAGCACTTACCACACCCGGAGCTGATCTGAAGGGGTCGCCTAGTTTTGATTGACCCCAGTGAGTGGAGCTCCGGCGCGACTGAGGTCTACGCCGCCTTCCCGAACAGAGGTTAAGAGAAGCTCTCGCAGCGCAGGGCTGATAATGGCCGTATTTCAGTGTATGTATCTACGAAAATACGTCTGTAGTCTACGAACGAAGACACATCTCCTAAGATGTAGGTTACAAGAGGCGCTGCCACGAATTTTGAGTAAGGAAGGGGGGCACAATTTTCCAGAGGGTCTCCTGGACAAAATGGCCCCCTTACGGGGCAGACAGCATGATCCGGCGCAGTGTCGTATTCAAGAGGAGGGGCGCCGAGGACGTGTGATATAGAGCTTCGGTAGGGCGTATCAAGCTGTTAAAGCAGCACATCAAAGTAGATAAAGGAAAATAGCTTTAAAAAAATCCAGGATGGGGGGCTTCTAATTATTCAGCAAAGGGTCTCGTTAGCCTAAAGCAGGACCCCTTGTTCCAGGAAAGGCCTCCTGATGCATGGAGGGGCTTCTTGCATCTGGTGCCACCTCTACCCATTCGGCAGCACCTAGAACAGGATGCTGCCGATTCACGACTGGGGCCTACCAACCTATCCAAGGGTCTCTCCATACCAAAATAATGCTTTCTGATCTGGAAGCACGACCATCTGGTGCATGAAATGGGCCTCCTGCCCCAGA